TTCATAGGTGTTGGTGGTATTTTTCCATCAGGAGACACCTAATATCGATTGTCTTTCATTTGGTGATTTTGACAGCTGTTGTGGTCCAGCACCTAGATCCTTTTGTTCCTTAGGGGTTGGAAAATAGAGATATTCTGTCAACTTTTTCCAAGAGAGAGAAGAAAATGAATACTTCTATACAGAGAAACATCTCTTTCTTCTTCCATTTGATCATCTAGGGATTTAATTTGTCCAGGAAAAGTAGGTCAGCTGTTGGCTTCTTGTTATTTACTGATTTTCAACACGGTAGTTCATTCACAGTCATCCTGCAACAACAACCAAGTAATAAAAACCAGGTCTTACTTGTTTTTGAGATCTTGGGGATTTGAACACATTTGTTCTCATGCCAGGGCATTGCAGGTACACTGATGGATGCTCACCTGGTGCCATCCTTTCAGCCAGTGGAAGCTGCTTCAGGTTGACTTCCAGGTCTCTGACACAGCCCATAACTCCAATAATCTCAGATAAATAGTTTCCTTACTTCCTTGTATGACAAAATGTTCTAACCCTTAGACATTTTTCAGTGAAGGGTGGTGCAAGACTTGGATTCAAGGAGTATTGATTCCTTTAAGTAGGAAATGATGTCTACAGACCAAGATCTAGACACTTAGGGTGCTCATGGCTCATGGGATGGTCATTGTTTCCTAGGTCTTTCCAGTGAAGAAATGTAAATAATAAAAAAGATTAAAACAGTCGGATGCTAGGCATAGTGTCTGACAGAGTAAGGGCTGAAGAAATGTAAATAATAATTATCTGACTCAATGAAATACACAGATATACACACAGAGATATACATACACATCTAATCATATACACACGTGCATACACACACATCGTTGGTAGAAAATATCTAAAGTGGAAAATGCATTCAGTCTACCTAATCTGCTGAACATCACCCCTGAGCAACAGAGCTCACTGTGGAATATTGGTTGTTCATTCGCATGACTATATGTTTGGCCAAATAGCAGCTCCTGCTGCTGCTTGGTATTGCAAGAGTGCTGTGCCACATATCACTAGTCCAGGAGAAGATCAAAATTCCTGAAGAGTTTCAGCTGAATGCATGTTGCCTTCCCAATGCTGCAAAGTCAAGCTGTTAAGTTAAGCCACGGTAAGGTGGCCAATCTGTGTCAGACTTTCACTTATTCAGTTCAGTCTCACATACGTATCTGTTCTGCCATGTCAGGAATACCAGTTCTTGTCGACACCAGAAATGACTAGAACATTTCCTAATGGCTCCTTTCATCAACCCCACACTGCCTCCAAACACTCTCATCACAATATACGCCAGTACATTACTAAAAACAGCATGAGATTGCTTATTTTTGCATCATTTTTTGTTCTTCTTAGGGCGTGTCTCACTGCAGAATCTACCCTCAAATTATAAAATTGCTTGGACTAGTTCCTTTCTTTGTGGTTATGCCAACAAGTAACACACACATGTGTTCATTGGTTTCATTTTACTTTGTTCTTGGTGTTGCATTTTAAATTCAAACTTTATACTGATGTAAAATATGTTCATGGTTTCAAAGTCAAATCTATAAAACAAGGTACGTTCAAAGGATTCTAGCTTGTTTCCCTGCCTCCTTGAGTCTATTTCCTCTTTTTTCTTTTAAATTTTTTATTGTTGGGTATTTCCTCTTTTTTCCACCTTCACCATAGGTAACCAGTTTTTTTTTTTAAAAAACATAGCTTATCTTTGCATTGTTTTTTTAAAATATAAAGTGTGTGTGTATGTGTGTGTACGCACGCGTGTGTGCATCCCCCCTCTCTTAGATAAATGAGAGTGTGCTCTTCCTGACCCTTCCTGGAGATGACCCCATGGCTGCACATAGAGAGGTTCCTCAATGCTCACGGCTGTCTGGTGTTCCACTGTGGAGGACACCGTGGTTCATTGAGACAGTTCCCTATGGATGGATAGTCCGTGTCCAGTTCTTTTTACTATTATATATGGTGTTTTCACAAATGACCTTGTACACATGTGTCTTTTTGTGCTTTTGTCAACATGGTCTTGGGCTAGATTCTTAAAAGTAGGATGGCTGGTCAAAAGGTAACAGGCCATGGGAGTTAGGTTGCTTTACATCCCTACCAACAATGTCTGAGGGAGCTATTCTCCACAGCCTTGCTGTGGCAAGGAGGGTCAACCTTTTTGATTTTTGTGAGTCTTGTCAGTGAGAAGTGTCTCTCTGTGATTTTAATCTGGATTTCTTTTACTGAAAAGGTAGTAGGATACTTTCTAAAAATAGTCTTCCTGGTCATAGAGGTAGGGCCCAGGCATGTTTTTATTGAGAAGCTGTATGTACGGTTCTTTGACACAACAAGGCCAAGAATCACTAATGGAGAGTGTTTGCAAACACCTCTCATGGACTTGGATGTGAGTTAAATCTCATTGTCACTCACTTGCACTTGACCTTGTGAAATTTCTTAAATTCTGAGCTTCTGTTTGCTCATCTGTAGAGCAAAAACAGAATAGTCATAGTATCTACTTTTATAGGATTGGTGCAAGAATAAAAAAGGACAGGCGCAGTGGCACAGACCTGTAATCCCAGCAGCTCAGGAGGCTGAGGCAGGAGGATCGTGAGTTCAAAGCCAGCCTCAGCAAAACCCATGTGTTAAGCAACTCAGTGAGACCCTTTCTCTACATAAAATACAAAATAGGGTTAGGGGCATGGCTCAGTGGTCGAGTGCCCCTGAGCTCAATCCCTGCTATCCTCCTCCCCACATCACCCCCACCAAAAAAAAAAAAAAAATCAAAATAGTCGGATGCTAGGCATTGTGTCTGACACAGTAAGGGCTAAAGAAATGTAAATAATAATTCTCTGACTCAGTAAAGAGAACCATTGGGCTTTGGAGGCTGTAAATCATTGTATCCTATAAAATTACTATCACCTCCTTAAATGGACTTCATAGTAATGTGAGAAAGAAGAGGGTCTTTTTTGTGTGTGAGTTGGCAGTGGTGCAGCCATAGAACTGAAGGCCACACGTAGTATTCAGGGGGTAGATAAGAGAAGAAGAAGAAGAAGTGTAGGTGTGGAGAGGGCATGAAACCACCCTGCAGGACAGGCCTTGTCAGACGACAGAGGGGAAGTGTATCCTCATGGGACCTGGCCTAGCAGTTGCCATAGTACTAGCTGGAAGGTGTATTTGAGAACTCGGTGAAATGTGCATGGTCGTTAGCTGCTCAGCTTCTGCCCTCCTGAGCGTCGGCCTGAAGGGTATGAATTGAGAGAACAGCGTGACCTTGGGTACTCTGCAGCTCTCTGGGCCCTTCACAGTCCCTGGACCCAGTTCTCCTGTCTATGGTGCTTTTGTTCCCGGGTGTCTGACACCACCTTTCCTAGCAAGCAGGGCACAGTCACTGACATTCTCAGGAGAAATTCTAGCCCTTAAGCTTGAGTCACGCCTCCCCGCCAGTAGGATGGGAGCCAAGGGTTCTGGCCTAGCACAGGGTGTGTTCTTCCTCGTGTGTGTTAAAGGGTTATTTTTATTATTAATCTTTCTGTAAAATTCAGTTTAGTTATTTGTCTTCTGTTTGTTTCCTGTTGCTTCATTTATTTCTGCTTTTGTGACAGTCATGCCCTTCTCATTTCTCTAGGTTGATTTTTTTTTTTTGCTTGCTTTTTGATTTTTGAGTAGGAAATTAAGTTTGCTGAGTTTCACTTTCTTATTTTATGCCAAGTGCCTTTAAGACATCTGTTAGTGCTCTCTTTCGGTTTGAAATACTTTATCATTTCTGTCTGAATTCCTCTGTAGCTCTGAATGACCTCTGTGTGCTTTACAAGGTGTCAAGGGTATGGATTCCTTTGCTATAATTTGCATCATTGATTTCTAATTTCATTGCATGGTAATTGATGAATATATCTATCATTTTGAGAGGAAATTTGTGGAAACCTGATTTATATCCTAAATCATGCCTTATCAGTTTTTAATCAGTGTTTCATATATGTTTGAGGAAAAAAACCAAATATTCTATTTGCTGGGTACTAAAATCTTAAAATAGCAATTAGCTTGAGTTGGTTGATTGCCCTGTTCAGATCTTTTTCAACTTCGCTGCCTGGCAAAATTATCTAGGTAGCTCTACTCCGCTAGGATCCTAGACACAAAATTATCCATTTAGAGTTGATTGGTTTTCACAAAACATGCTCATGTTATGGAGGACATGGAGGGTCTTCTGACTTTGTAAGCAGTGTTGATCTGAGTGTGGTGTCCCAGCTCAGTTAGCCTATAAAATCTAGGCTCTGATCTCCAGTGGATTATCTTGGCTGTTGCACTCACGGATATTTGTGTCGTGCAATAATTTAAGAGTGGAACTGATCAATATCCTTATGAAGAACAGAAAGTAGATAACTGGCTAGGCTAGAGGCCTTGTGAAGAAGGAATGCATTCTTTTGAAAGTTTTTTTTTGCTGTATTTAACCTTTTTCTAGTTCTTAGATAGCCAAATGTGACTATATATAAATGTCACTATATTTATATATTTATATTTATATATAAATGTATATTTTTAGTTTCATTCAATAGTTAGATTTATTAACATGTTTGAAGGTTCAGTTCATGAATATGATTTATTTATATCTTCTAACCTGTATTAAACTTGTCCCAGTGTCCAGCATTAGTTGAAGGCCTGTGCCCTTGGTCACATGATCATGTGCGCATTGCACAAACCTCTCTGGGACTTATTTCTTCATCAGTTACATGGACAGAATACAACCTTTCCATGTTGGTCAAAGAGGGTTGTGGTGAGGCTCAGTCAGATAATGGACACTTTGGAAACTGCAAAGAGATTTTGAAATGCAGAAGGCACAAGTTGGGGACATCATGTGAAGAAGTGGCAAGTGAAAGTGACCTCAATGCATCTTAATCCCCTTTGTTCTCCAGAAGGAACTTGGACAGGGTAAGGATTGAAAGAAATGTTTGGAAACCCCTGAAATGAATTTTCCCATGTCCTTCCTTCCCCTCCCTCAGTGTAGAACACAGAAACTGCAGCCATGACCACCCACGTCACCCTGGAAGATGCCCTGTCCAACGTGGACCTGCTGGAAGAGCTGCCCCTCCCAGACCAGCAGCCATGCATCGAGCCCCCGCCCTCCTCCATCATGTACCAGGTAATGGAAATGGCGGAGCATGCCGGGAGCTCAGGAGCTCTGAGTCCCCTAAGAGCCTTTGCCCTGAAGGGAGAGGGGCTGCATCTAGAAGGTTAAAGGTTGAGAGCTGATGCAGTCCCTCACGCACATGGGGAGCCCGGTGTGAGGAACAGATGAGATAACAAATGTACATCAGGACTATTTCCGTACCCCAGGGAGGGCTGGTCGATGTGCTCTGACCCCAGGTACCTTCCCAGCTGTTCTTGCTGCTGCACCAACCATGTTTTGGCAATTCTGATCTCATGAATTAAATATTGCCATTTAGAAAGCCCTAGAGCCTGCCTGGGTAGTTACTTTGCCTTCGTGTATGGGAAAAGAACGCTAGGACTCCACAGGGCTCAGGGAAGTAGGTCAGAGGCATTTGCTTTTGCCTTAGAGGAGATCTTGTGATAATCTACCCTTGATTGCACAGATCCACCATCCCATGGGGCTGGTAGGGAGGGCACCCTTTGCAGCTGGAGACAGCCCTGCAGTATAGTCCCTGGGCCCCGCTTGCTAGGCCAGAGGCCTTGTGAAGAAGGAATGCATTCATTTGAAATTTTTTCGCTGTATTTGTTCTTTTGCTACTTCTTAGATAGCTAAGTGTGAGTAAATATAAATATATATTTTTAGTTTCATTCAATAGTTAGATTTATTAACATGTTTGAAGGTTCAATTCATGAATATGATTTATTTATATCTTCTAACCTGTATTAAACTTTATGGTTTTTATTTACAGGAAAGTATAACAAAATTTCCCTGTAACTATGCCCCCTCTTCTCTATACACATGGACCTTTTTACCAAATATATGTATTTTACCAAATATGTAAATTTGGTACATATGTTAATATGTACATCTTGTAAATATATACTTGGTGAAATATGTATATTTGGTATATAATAATGTATATGTTTTTAAAATATGATTTTTTTCTTTTTATCAAAAGGAAATAGCACTATTTATAGTATTTGATGACCTGGCTTTTTCTTAAAATTTATTATGGGTATTTTTTCTATCACAATATAATGTGGTTGAGCCACATATGTTCTAGCACCTCATGGTCCTTCTAAGTCATTGCATGTACGGTGTATGCTATTATTTATTTAGCCATTTGCTATTGATGAGCATTTGAGTGGTTTGCAGATTTTTTTTTTTTTTTAATCACAAAAATGCTGCAGTGGTTGTCCTCATTCATATGGATTTGCACCCTCAGGTGAGAATTTCTGAATGGCTGGATCAAAGTAATGTATACTGAACTTTTAGTAGCATTTTGGGCTCGTGTAGTTTTGGCATTTACTTCTGAGTCTCTTGATGAGTGACTGACCACCCATGGGAAGCAGATGGGCCCTGTCCTCAGCCTGTTCCTGCTGGTGTGATTATGCAGGCAAGTGTTTGGGGGAGGGGCAAGATTCCAGGTGAGATGGCAGTAGGTTTCCACAGAGTTTGTTGACAGTAATTTGCTTCCTGGACACCAGCTACCTTGGACCCATTCCCAACAACTAAATGTGCCTAACCTTTAATTCCACAGGCCAACTTTGACACGAACTTCGAGGACAGGAATGCATTTGTTACAGGCATTGCAAGGTACATTGAGCAGGCAACGGTCCATTCCAGCATGGTAAGTCTCTAGAACCACGTGTGCAGACGTGCTCCCTGCTGAAGCAGGAGGGGCTGTGGGCGGCTTCTCACACGGGGACATGTCCTCGGCTACCCCCACTTCAGACCCCAGCTATGCAAGTCCTGCCCCACCTCCTCCCAGAAGCTCAGCACACTGCTCCCCTTTAGCTTCAGGCTTTGCAAATCCCACTCACTGTAGCCCCTCCTGATCTCCACCGCTCACTTCCCTGAGCTTCTGTAGCTCTCTGGGTTAACATGTGGTTAGATTCTGCCTTGTCTTACATTTCATTGATTACTGAGTATGTGGAACTTTGTCTCTCTGCAAAGCAAAATATTCTTCATAAAAGAGACACGGTGACTTTGGCTTTGGAGTAACATGGTTATTGACTCAAGATCACCCTACAAGCAGAGCTAGCTATTATTTTCTTTCTTAGGTTCTGACTCTAAAAAGGAGGGGTCATCCCCTTCTCTCTTGGGCTTTCCTTGATTTTTTTTCTTCTCAGGCAGCACTGGACTTGGAAGAATTCCAGAGTCCTTATCCTGGGGCTCTGTTGTGGCCTGATGGATCTTTGTCACTATGTTAGTTGAATTCTCTAACCTTGACTTAGCAAACCTGCTCGTTTGTTCTGAAAGTATTTTGCATCTGTACCTGCAGAGGACAGGGTCAGTGCTGGGGAGGTGCCCAGGGACAAACGGGCCAGTCCTAGTTCTCAGGGAGTCAAGTCAATACTGAAGCTTGCCATTCACCGAGCACTTTCTCTGTGCAGATATTTTAAGTTTATTGTCTCATTTAATCCTCAATGAACCCTGTGAGGTAGTTCTGTTATAATACCCGTTTTATGCTAGGCGCAGTGGCATGTACCTGTAATCCCAGTGACGAGAGACTGAGGCAGGAGAATTGCAAGTTCAAGGCCAGTCTCAGCACCTTAGCAAGACCCTATCTCAAAACAAAAAATAAAAGACTGAGGATATAGCTCAGTGGTAAAGTGCCCCTGGCTTCACCCCATCGAGTACCTAAAAATGAAAACAGACAACAAACAAACAAATAATAAAGTACCCAATTTATAGCTGGGGAAAACCGGAGCCCACAGTTGACAAATGAAGGACCTAAACTCTGCTGTCTGTCAACAAAAATCTGTGCTCTGGACTACTCTTTGTGGACAAACGAAAATTCACAAAGGGTAGATGTCATGGTTAAAGTTAAAGTTCGGTGTTTGAAGGGACTTTGAGAGGGTTAGAGAAAATTTGATGACGGAAGTGACTTTCGAGCGGGACCCTATAGGAGGGTAATGACACCTTTAAGCTGTCTGTAAGGCATTCCCTGCCACAATGCATTGGAGTCCTCAGAATCGCCCTGGGACTTGCAGAGGGATCAATATACCCATTTGAGGGATGAGAAAACAGAGGCCTGGAGAAGTTAATAAGCATGTTACTCATGGTCCTACAATCAGGAAGTCATGGGATTGGATCTGTAATCTGGGACTGACTCTCTGTATTTTACTCCACTGTCTCACATGGAATTTTACCAGTCTGGGAGGAGTGGGCTTACCCTGCTGGGGGAACCAGTATGAACAAAGGCATAGAATTTCCGGTTACTCATGTGTGATCTGTGAGGTCCACATGAGCAAATTATGGTATTGATGGAAATTCAGATGGGGGTCAGCTGGTGCAGGGTACATCAGTTGGCGAGGGCTGCTTTAACAAAATGCAGTAGACTGGCTGGCTTAAAGAGTGGGTGTTTATTTTCTCACAGTCTTGGAGGCTGGAAGTCCATGATCAGGGTGTGGGCAGGGTTGGTTTTTTCCCAGGGCCACTCTGGTTTACCTGAGACTGCTTCTGGCTGTTTCCTCGCGTAGTCTATCCTGTGCACATGCAGCATGTCTCTTTGGGAATCCAAATTCCCTCTTCTTATAAGGACACCAGTCAAATTGGATTAGGGCCCACAGAAATGACCTCATTTGAATTTAACCACCCCATCTTCATGTAGAAGTCATTCTCATGTACTGGGTTTAGGGCTTCAATAGACGAATTGTGTGGAGGGAGAGAGATGCATACAATTCAGCCTGTAGCACAGGGCTTTCATTCATCACTAAAAGTCCAAAGGCAGTGGAAGGTTTTTGTCCATAGGAGAGAGTTGAGCAGAATTGTTTCACCTGTTATGTGTGGAATGAGTTGAGGAAGAGTGAACGGAGCAGATAAATCACTGAGATCATTAAATTCCCAACCTTGGAGTTATTAAGGATGGTACTAGGATGATGGCATTGAGGGTGACTAGGGGGACGTGCATGTGAGAGTCACCGGAGCTCAGCTCTACGGGGCCTAGCAATCTGCTGGGGTAGAGGGAACAGCAACCACACTGAGGTGTTCTGGAAATGTCAGATCAGGGACTCTGGTAGGGAAGTCTAAGGAGCAGGCTGGTTCAGAGGGTCACTGCATGAATCTTCTATTGCTACTGTAACAAGCTATCATATTCTTAGTGCCTTAAAACAACACAGATTTCTTTACTGACAAGTACTTTAGAGGTCCCACGTGGGTCTTCCTGAATTTGATCAAGGTGCCCACAGGGCCACATTTGTTTCTGTAGGCTCTAGGGAGCTTTCTGTTGTCTTGTTTTTTTTGTTGTTGTTGTTGTTGTTTTTGTTTTTTTTTTTTTAGCTCCAAGAAGCTTGGCTTGTTTCTAAATAAGAAAACTATGACAAGTTGAAAGATGGGTCCAAGGGAGGCAGGGCCAGAAGTCAAGTCCCAAGGCCCCACCCAGGACTCCTTTCTCCATATCATCTTGGCCTCTTTATTCAAGGCCAGTTGTGCAACAAATCCAGCTGAGAGTCAGCTAAACTGTCCACAGGGCAGAGTCCACGCCCATCTTCTCCACTGCCGTGTTCAGCACAGAGCCCGGGACCCGTGAGTGCTCAGTAAAGCTTTCATTGAATGAAGGAGTTCACATTACACCTGCTATGGGCAGTTGCGTGCTAAAAATAGATGCACATTCTTTATATTACTGTCACTTCCCCTTTTTGACATGTGTTTGAAGCAGATGACTGTAGGACTCCCACGGGTTGATCTTGGTTCTTTCTGATCTCAAGGACAACATGTTACTGATGCTAAAAGCTCTCTACATTAAGCATTGAAACTGTGACTTGCCAAAGACATTTGCTCTTGAAAATAGAGCTGTAATAAGTAATAAACTCCAGGTTAAATCTGATCTGATCCTAATGAGATATGGAATATGTAAGATATGAAGATTTAAAATTAAATCAATAAAAGTACATTTTTTTGAATAGATACAGATATTCACAATGAGACATGGCCTCATGTTACTCTTTATTGTGTTTGGGGGCATACTTTTCATAACATAAAACCATTTAAAGTGTATAATTCAATGCTTTTTTTAAGCCTATTCACAATATTATACAACCACACCACCATCTAATTTCTGTTACCCCAAAGAATACCCCAGACCTCTTAGCAGTCACTTCCACTTCCTCTCTCCCTGTGAACCCTGGCAACCTCCAATGCACTTTCTGTCTCTATGGATTTGCATATTCTCACATTTCATCTAAATGAGTTATACAATAAGTGGCTTTTTGTACCTGGCTTCTTTCACTTAGTGAAATGTTTTTCAAAGTTTGTGTTGTAGCCTGTGTAAGTACTTCATTACTTTTTATAGGTGAATAATATCCCATTGTAGGATAGACCACTTTTATTTGTCCATTCATCAGTTGGTGGACATTTGGGTTATTTCCATTTTTTGTTGTTGTTGTTGTTTTGTTTTTTGTTGGTACTGAGGGTTTTACCACTGAGTTACTTCCCCAACCCTTTTTATTTTTCTTTTGAGACAGGTTCTTGCTACATTGCTTAAGGTCTTGCTAAATTGCTGAGGTAGGCCTCAAACTTATGATCCTCCTACCTCATTCTCCCGAGTAGCTGGGATTATAGGCATGTGCTACTGTGCCTGGCTTTTTTTCTATTTTTGAGTTATTATGAATAATGCTGCTGTGAACATTTATGTCACCCATAAATCCTGAATCCTCAGAAATTTCTGTGTGGACACAATTTCAGTTCTCCTGTGTATATATCTAGTGGTGAAACTGCTGGGTCAAATGGTTACTCAATTGTTAATATTTAGTGGCACCGCTTTTAGGAGTTTAGACTGTTTTTCTAACTTCCTTTACAGATCACCTAGAGAGAGACATAGTGTCGTTCGTTGAATTCTCACAGAATTCTGTCACATCAGCACCACCACCATTATCTTCACTTTAACAGATGACTAAGTGGGGAGTTTTAGCGATTTATTGTGGACTAAAGGGCTGAGGGTGATGAAGCTGGATGTTAGCCCAGATGTTCATACCTTGAGTTGAGGGCTCTTTCCACAGAGGCATAGTCCAGGGGATGGGTCATCTCTGTTTTTCAGGCTCATTTCAAAGTTGTTGCTTATTTCTATCATGTGTATAATAATTATTCTCCTGCTTATAAAATAGTAATGTGGACTCTTATCAAAGTGTGAACAGTACTCTTATGTTATTTTAGTGTATTACGTATTATCTATTGTGTATTGTAGTACTATTACCTTACTCTAGTAGATATATAAAGTAACACAGTATTCCAATCCAGAGAGAGCTTGTAATTCAGAGCTTGGTACATATGCTACCAATTTTTTTTTTTTTACATTCAGTATATATTTATAATCACTACTGTTTTGGTTTGTGACCTATTTACATACAGTTTTGCTTGCTCGTTTTCTTACTAACTATATCTGGGACACCTTTTTCTGTGGGAACTGCAGATCTGCCCTCCTTTCCAAGGTGGCCATCCATCTGTTTGAAAACTGTAGCCCTGTCATAGAGTCCTTGGGCTTCTGATGAGAATGATGTAGGTCGGTTCTTCTTACTCTTGTGCAAGTGAGTCATCTGAGCATTTTGTTGAGATGTGGCTTTTAGACAAGGGGGTCCTGAGAGTCTGCCTTGCTAGTGCGCCCCCTGCTGACGGTGCCGATGCTGCTGGTCCACAGACCACCCCCATGATAGTGAGGCTCTTGAGAAGCCGGCGGCTTGGATGTCATTTCTCACTGCCCCCTGGTTTTGCTCTTTCAGAATGAAATGCTGGAGGAGGGACATGAGTATGCCGTCATGCTGTACACCTGGCGCAGCTGTTCCCGGGCCATTCCCCAGGTGAGACGGCCCTCACCCTGTGCATGTATCTCAAACCCCTCTGCGGGGGTCTTATTCCTTCTCACTCTACTCACAAAGGATTGCTGAGCTTTTCCAGGTGGGAGGGGGTAAGTCAGGGCCTCTCATCCAATGAAGCAGCCTGAAGTCACTGATGACCAGGGCCCATGCCCAGGGACTTCAAGGTTTGGGCAGTACACAGTATGCATAGTATCTTATTTCAAAAATTGTACATGCTAATTTTCTGACACCTAAACCATTGCAGAAGGGTATAAAGCAAAATATACGACCTCCTGGCCCCACCAGCCAAACCCACCTTCCTCCATAAGATCATCACTGGCAACACTTTGCTGCATATTCTTCTGTATCGTCTCCCTGGCGTGAATATTATTTTGTACATTTTTATCATTTATAATAGTGTTGTTTCTTTTTTATATTATTCTGCCTTTTGCTTTTAAAAAATTCTTCGTTACTGACTTTTTTATGTCAAAACATACACATATTTTTTTTAACCATCATTGTCATATAACTAATGAGTTCCATCATCACAAATCAACAAACCACAGGTGTATAAAGTAAACAATCTATTCCTCCCCTCCTAATCCTGGTCCTTGGGGAGAAGTGCTATTTGCAGTTTTTCAGCCTTACTGATTTCATCTGCCTGTCTTTTATATGAACACAAAGAGTTTTGTTTTGCTTAAAAAAACAGGATAAAATTATCCTGTTGTTCACCTGCTAGCTTATGGTGACAGTGCTGTTATGGAAATTCATGTAGTTCTATCTCCTCCCTTCTAAGAGTTCATCACTATATTGTGTGAACGCATCATTGAATCCATTTGGTCATCCATGGATGGGTATTTAGCACTTGCTACCTTTTTTTTAAATTTTTTTTTAGTTGTAGATGATGCATACCTGTATTTTACTTATTTATTTATTTTATGTGGTGCTGAGGATCAAACTCAGCGCCTTACATGTGCTAGGCAAGCGCCCTAGCACTGAGTCACAACCCAGCCCTTGCTACCATTTTGAGAATTTCTGACCATCTGTGAAGAGTGTCCTTGAACCGCCTCTCCTCAATCTTCAGATTCAGTTGACCTGCTGGTGGTTTTGACAAGCGTGTTGTAGAGTGTCTGCCACATGATTCTGATGTGCACAATGGTTGAAAACCACTGGGCTGGGAAATGGGTTTTTAATGGCACATCTGATGTTGGCCGACATTGGCCTGGGGATGGCTAGGGGAGTAAGGGATAGAACATTGCTCTTTGCTTAGAATCTGACTGGAGCCCCCTGGGACAGGGCTGGGGAAAGGCCAAAGTGGGAAGCTTCTGATCATAGCACAGAACACCAAAAAAGGGAGGGGGGGTTCCTGTCTTGGGACCAGCTGGTTTCTTATGTGCAGCCAGTCTCTCGGAGGGGGGGCGCCTCTGCCTCCCACCAGACCAGTGAGACTGGGGCCATCCCAGCTTCTTCTTGCTTTGGAATCAGTTACTTCCCAACAGAGGCCCTTGTGAGAGTAAAGGGTATCCTTATTAATAAGACCACAGGTGTGGACCAGGACTGTGTGGACGAACCAGGGTGCTGAGTCCCCTCCTCTGCCCACAGGTGAAGTGCAATGAGCAGCCCAACCGAGTGGAGATCTATGAGAAGACTGTGGAGGTGCTGGAACCGGAGGTCACCAAACTCATGAAGTTCATGTACTTCCAGGTGAGCTGGCCTGGTGGTTCTGCATCAGGAGACGTGAGAAGACCACCTGTCTTCCAGGCACCAGGCTCTGCACCTTGGTACCATGCTGTCTATTCATCTAGCAGCTATTTTTAGAAAGCTACCTACAAACCCCTGTGTGAGCAAAACAGACACATGTCCCTAGCCCCATGTAAGTTACATCTGATGAGTCTGTGAGTACATTCTGGGCATGGGGAGAGACTGACTATAAAAAGTAATTTTCAGGGCATAATTAGTGCTTCGAGCAAACTAATATTTAAAACAGTTCCAGGTTGTGGAGTATCTGCTGGTGCTCTTTAGGGACAGTCTCTTGGGACGTGTGTGTGGACTGAGCTCTGGGCAGTGAGAGAGAGGCTGCCTGCAGTGGTCAGGAGCAAGAGCACTCCCTGGAGAAGGTACTGTAAAGTCCAAAGCCCTCAGGTCTGATGTGTTTAAGAAACAGAAGGAAGACAGAGAGACCGGAACTCAGTGAAGATGGGGGATCGGGAGAGGAAGGAGGAGACTGTGGAGAGGGCACTGTGGGCCCTGAGATGGCATTCAAGGCCATGGGAGGCCACTGGAGGGTTTGGGTGACTTAATCTGATCTAAGGTTTTGTGACAGCCTCTGGCTGCTGTATAGGGGTGGATGGCATGTTGGGGGGACAGGAAGAGGTTGGGAGCAGGAGCAGACAGAGAGGACAGCAGGGAGGCCAGTTGGGAGGCCTGTGAGAGTGATGGTGTCAAGAAGGAATGAGCCAGTGTAGTGGCACACGCCTGTAATCCTGTAGCTCGGGAGGCTGAGGTAGGAGGATCATGAATTCAAAGCCAGCCTCAGTGACTTAGTGAGGCCCTAAGCAACTCAGTGAGGCCGTGTCTCTAAATAAAATATTAAAAAGGGCTGGGGATGTGGCTCAGTGATCGAGTGCCCCTGAGTTCAATCCCTGGTATGAAAAAAAAAAAAAAAGAAAGGAGGAGAGAGAGCCAGGGCTTCTCTGAGTGGGCAGGCTGGATGGACAGGGGCCACAGGGAGGCATGTGAGTAGAAGGAGCAGGGTGTCACAGTCGCATCAAAAACAGCTGAGGAGGACAGGTTGGTAACTGGCGGCCAGGCTGGACTCCAGGGTGGGCATCATGACACACAGTGCACCCTCTTCTTGGTTCCCCATGGAGCTGAGTGTCATGGACGGATTCCCTGCCAGTCCCCTGCCCAGGGGCAATGCCTGCGGGGTCAGTGTAGTACAAGGAGGTGAGGATAAATGAGGTCCATTGGTAAAGAACAAGTAGAGCCCTGTTCCACAGTGGGTCCCAAGGCCGCGGCTGCTGTTAGCAGCACAGCCCCGGCTTCCAGGAGCCACGGGTCTCTTCGCGAAGGCAGACAGACCTGCAAAAGGAGAGCTTCCCAAAGACCCTGGGGTGCTAAGCCGAGGCCTCCCCAGAGGCATTCGCAGAAGGGAGGATCTGTAGTAACTTAGAACCCGGCTGGCCAGCACCACAGTCACTGGCCACGTGTGACTACTGATGTTAATTAAAATTAAGTACAATTAAGAACGCAGCTCCTCAGTCACAGTGCGCATCTCAAGTGCTCCATGGCCACCCGTGGGGAGCAGCTGTTGATTGCACGGGGCTGCTGGGGAAGGCTCCCGTGGTGGTGGAGGGCTACTGGGTGTGGTCTTTGAGGAGAGGGTGGCTGACTGCGGGGTCCCAGGCCCACGGCTCACATTGGAGCCGTCATTTCTTTCCCCACTTCTCCTCTCCCTTCCTTCCATTTCTTCTCCTCCTCCTCTTTCTCTCCTGCTCACTGCCCCCAGATCGCAGCAGCAGCCTCTTTTTCTCTTATTCAACTGTTTTTTTTCTGTTTTTGTTTTTTCCTGACACCAGCTTTACTGGGGTATGCCTGGAATGGTACCTGGCACACAGTAGATGCTCAATAAAGAGTTATTGGTCATCATGAGCCCCTTTCTCTGGATGGTTCTCACACACTCTTGGCTTCTTTCTCCTTGTTGGCCAGTGCCTGACACTGTCCCAGGTGTTGGGGACACAAAATGAATAAGACATATTGATGCTTCTAAATGAAAGTGTGTTGGATGAATTCATTGGTTCGACTCACTCAGGGCCAGATCCAGGTTGCCTCTAAAATCAGATTTGGATTGAAATACATCTCTGAGAAAGTCCACCCTACAGATCTGCCCTTTTCTTGATGGCCTGGGGAGACCCCAGGCGAGCCTTGACCAGAAAGCAGAGGGAGCCACTGCCCCCACCCCTGGGGCCGCCTCCCCCTTACGCCTGCCCTTCTGCCTCCAGCGCAAGGCCATCGAGCGGTTCTGCAGCGAGGTGAAGCGTCTGTGCCACGCCGAGCGCAGGAAGGACTTTGTGTCCGAGGCCTACCTGCTGACCCTGGGCAAGTTCATCAACATGTTCGCCGTCTTGGACGAGCTGAAGAACATGAAGTGCAGTGTCAAGAACGACCACTCTGCCTACAAGAGGTCAGCACCCTCTCCCGCGGGGCCCTCTTCCCGGGCAGCAGCTGGGTAGCTGGAGGGAGAGGCCAGTGCCCTGCTCACAAGCTCCTTCTCTGGTACCTGACTAGCCAATCCCCAAGACAGAGCAGGGCTGGGCCTGTGTCAGCCTGGCTTGAGGAGCAGGCTGTGGAGCTGAGTCTGTGGAGAGCCTGACCTTGGCAGGGTCTCATAGCTCAAGATGGAGTTAGAGCCTCATTTCCCCGTCCATGAAGCCGTAACCATTCTGTTGCCCCATGCTTGATGGAACCAGGAAGGTAATTTTAAAATGGCTACTGTGTTAACTTTGCATAGCTGTGACAAAATACCCAACATAAACAACTGAAAAGAGGAAAGGCATATTTTGGCTGATGGTTTCAGAATTTTCAGTCCATGGTCACCTGATTCCATGGTTTCTGAGCCTATGGCGAGGCAGAACATCATGGCGGGATGTACGTGATGGAGCCAAGTTGCTCATCTCATGGTGGCCAGGAAGCTGGTGGGGGCAGGAAAGAAGAGGTCAGGGACAAGATTACCCTTCCACGGCAAGTCCTCAGTGACATACTTCTTCCAAGTAGGCCCTATTACATTACCTAGTTTCTACCCCTTCTCAGTAGCCATCAATGCATTAATCCACTGGTGAGATCAGGGCCCTCATGATTTGATCACTTCCCCAAAGGAGCCCCTCTGTGCATTGCTGCACTGGAGACCAAGCCGTCAGCATGGGAGCCTTTCAGGGACACTCCAGATCAAGACTCTAGTAGTTACATTAGTCATTTTTCTGCAAGACTCAGAAAGCCATTCAAACTGCTATGCAGAAGACAGAAATGAGTTGGCTTATGGAACCCAGACATCCAGGCATGCCCCCATCCAGTGCCCGGGTGGTGATGTTAGCCTAGGTCTCCCCACCTCTGCTGCCCTTCCCTCTCTAACGGCCTCCTGCTCAGGCCAGTTGTGCCTCATGGTGGTCTCTGGCAGCAGCTTCCCACCAGCCAGATAGCAACCCCAATATTTCAGGGAAATGCTTTTGCACAGGTCTCAGGGAAGAAGGATGTCCCTCAAGCCTGTATCATGTGCTGGTCCCTCCATTAGTCACTGGTGAGGTAGGCTGCTCTGATCAGACACTGCTCACTCTTAGATTTGGGGGATCCATATCAGCTTAGAAGAAAGGACCACATCTAAAATTGTGTGTGTGTGTGTGGCGGTGGGGGGGGAGGTTGTTTCTCTTTATAAATCAGGACACAGTCACCCAAGAGGAGACAAGAGCAGTTAAAAGCAAGAGACTCCCAGCATGTTGCATGAGGTTCAGATGAACCCCAGAGTGTCTGGCCACCTCTGGTGGAAGGACTTTCCATGTCACTGTTGGGGAGGGAGGAGGGACCCTCCCCCCACATTGTCCTTGGGTTCAGAGTGCCTGGAGTGAGCAGACTGGTTCTCACAAGTTGATTCTTCTGTGTACACCATGAAACCCGGGGTGCCCAGCAGGCAGAGCCCATGTCTCAGCTGACCCAGAAATGTCAGATTCACAAAGATTCCATAGATAGCTCATGGCATAACATCCTCCCCCACACACCCGACAGTTAGAGCACACTGCTGCCGTCATGGCCACAACCGACGTCCTGCGTGTCCGGAGCGAGGCAGGGGTACTCTGCTACCACAGATCCCTGTGTGCCCTACACCCATCCTGCTTTCATCTTATAATCCTGTAATGTTAACAGACTTATTTTCCATGCAATTCTTTGTTTGAGAAACATCGAGGTTTTCCTATAAGGAAAGCGTCTCCACGGCTCACAGTGCAGCTCCGGGGCAGGTGCTCCTTTCACTCCCTCTGGCCCCTCCACCTGCATCAGTGGAGGCTGGCTCCCCATAAACTTTCCAAGACTTCAGAGATTTTCAGTGCATCCCTGCCCTTGAATTTCAGATGCCCTGTCCTGACCTCGGGGGACAGTGTCACTCCGGGTAGGGTGGAAATGGGAGCCCACGTGACGTACCTCAGGCTCGGGGTGTGCAGATGCTCTTCGGTCTCACCTGCCATCTGCCTTTCAGGGCGGCACAGTTCCTGAGGAAGATGGCGGACCCCCAGTCCATTCAGGAATCGCAGAACCTCTCCATGTTCCTGGCCAACCACAACAGGATCACCCAGGTGGGTCCTGCCTGGCGTCTTGGGGAAACAGGGGCCTGGAGGCTGGGTGAACCTCAAGCAGATGATCTCAGTCCAACTTCTGTCTGCACTGCCCATCACAAGAGTGAAAAACCACTGCAGCCTTCAGCCTCCCTCCCAACCACAGATGGCCCTTCCACCCTCTCCAGGCCTTGTCCTCTGAAAGCCTTCAGCCAGGGTAGAGGACCAGAGAGCAGGACCACCACCCACTGCAACGCCTTGGGCAAAGGCCAGACCTCAAGTTTCTCATCTATAAAATGGGTCTGTCATTTTGAATATATTATGAGGATTTATCTCGCTGGACTATCGTGAGAAATAAAGGAGATGCTGTACAAAAAGCTCTCGGCATGCTCCGTGGGTCGGCTTTGTGATCAAAATACCTGACAACAACTTAGAGCAGGAAAAGTTTATTTGGGGCTTACAGTTTTAGTACCTTAGTGCTGGTTGGCTGACTCCATGGCTCTGGGTGTGAGGGGAGGGAGAACATCAAGATGGAAGGATGAGGTAGAGGAAGGTGGCTCAGCTCTTGGCATCCAGGAAGCAGAGTGACAGAGTGAGGAGTCAGGGACGAGCTCTGGTCCAGGCCACATCCTACCTGCCTATATTTACCACCCAGTAGTCCTTTCAGATTATTAGTCCATCAAAGGAATTAACCAATCATTTCACCTCTGAACACATGAGCTTTTTGGGGGGTGTCTCGTAGACAAACCACAACATATGCAAAGCCAGGAAAGGAGGAAAAGGTCCAGAGCTCTGGTCCCTGCTTTGCAGGGCATGACCACTCAGCTGTCACTCTCCCATTATACCCAGCATAGCCTGACTCATCCCACCCTCTGTCAGGTCAGCCGCAACAGGTGCCGGCAAGAATGTTGGCAGGACCCAGGCCGGTGCTGAGGGGCCCTGCATTTCCCCAGGGGTTTTAGGCTCAGCTCCCTGGGCAGAGGCCCAGAGTTGGCAGGGCCCTTCCTGCTCTGTTCACTGCCCAGTGTCTGAGGCCCCAGGAGACTGAGTCCCCTGCTGCCTGTACAGAGCTCCAGCAGTGCCCTTCTTGGGTGTCCCACAAGGACCCTTTGCTTCTTTGGAGAAAGCACGGGGATGGGAACTTCAGATCCTTCTCTCTAGGAGATGTTTCTGAACTGCTGTGACCTGCCAGGAGGAGACACCTACTGGCCCAGGTGCCCCCACCCCCACTCCATGGGTCTTTCCCTGCCCTTGTCTGATGAAAACAGCACAGATAAGTCTATGCCTTCAGAGCTGAGCTGAAATTACTACAGGCCTGTTGTAAAGCTGAGCTGCTTCGGCTCTGCCTAAGAGAGTGCTTCTTACTTGCAATTGCTGGGGACTGAGATGGAGGCTCCAAGGCAAGCAAGCTCCCTGCACAGGAGGCATGCAGGAGCTCTGGCTACCCAGCCACTTGGGTGGCATTCACAAGGGCATTCAGGCATCAGACTGGCTGGTGTGAAGGCTCCTCTCCCCCAGGGCCATTCATGACTCCTGGGCCATCAGTAGAGCCACGTGCTCAGTCACTGCTGCCCAAACTGTGTGGCAGGTGAGGATGCAGGAGGGGGTGTCTTGTGCTTGTCCTGAGGGCGGGTGCTGTTTCAGTGTCTCCACCAGCAACTGGAAGTGATCCCTGGCTACGAGGAGCTGCTGGCGGACATCGTGAACATCTGCGTGGATTACTACGAGAACAAGATGTACCTGACCCCCAGTGAGAAGCACATGCTCCTCAAGGTAAACCCCACCGCATACTGCAGACAGGGATTGCCCTCCCACCTCCTCCTTATCTAAAATCATTTTTAAAGAACAATATTTCTATTTCTTAAACAGTGATACAGATCTCACTGCACATGTGGTCTCTTCTTTCGCTTTAATATCTCCTATGCACCTTTAAGGTGTCATTAAGGATATTTCTGCAATATAATTTTTATGGTTGCCCACTATTCCATTCTATGGGGATGTTGTTGTTTAACATGTTCCCTGGGGTGGGATTTTTGTTTGCTAAACTGCATTAAAACCCTCATAGCACAGCTTTTTGTTTTTTGTTTTTGTTCCAGGGACTAAACTCAGAGGCACTCAACCTCTGAGTCACATCCTCAGCCCTATTTTGTATTTTATTAAGAGACAGCTCTCTCTGAATTGCTTAGCACCTCGCTATTGCTGAGTCTGGCTTTGAACTCTTGATCCTCCTGCCTCAGCCTCTTGAGCCACTGGGATTATAGGCGTGCGCCACCATACCCAGTGTAGCACAGCTTTTATGCACCTCTTTTGGTCAAGCTTAACATTATGAAAGAGAAATTGCTGAATCAGAGGGAAAACAGAATCTTAGGGCTTTTGCTTTAATTTGTCAAATGGTCATGATTATCTCAACAGTTTACAAATTTTATCCTAAAATTATTAATGGGGAAAATCCAGGATATCCAAAAAAGCATTAAAAAATTTCAACCTGTCACCATCTTTTACCCTGGAAATAACATCTTCAGAATTGTGATGTATATGCTTCTAATTTTTTTCTATGCTTGTTTATTTAAAACATATGCAATATACATAAGCATGTCGAATTTTTCTCAGATGTCCTTAATTATGTTTGGAATATTTCGCAGCAATTGACTAAAGTCACATAGATGAGCCTTCTTGGCTTTAACCACAATATATCATTGTCTGCTAAGATTATTTCTAATTCCTCTCCAATAGTTATAGCACTGACATGAACAACTTTCTCTATATCTTCACATGCACCACACAGCACCCCCCTTTTGATTCTTTCTTCCCTCAAACCTCATCTTCCAAAGTGTTTCTTTCTCTCTCTTTCTCTCTCTCTCCCTCTCTTGCCACTTTTGGCATTTTAAGAACTCCTGACCTGGGTTAGTGTTCCTGTCCTTACATTTCTGGCACCTCAATTGAGTTTGTAGGGTATATTTCATTGCTTTGTCAAAATACCTGATGTAAAGTACAAAGAAAAAAGATTTAGTTAGCTCACAGTTTGGGGGACCGGAAGTTCAAGCAGCATGGTACAGGCTCTGGCAAAGTTCCTCCCTGACTATATCACATCATGGCAGGAAACTATATGTATCTCTGTGTGGTCTCTCTCCCCTGCTTGTCAGGTCACCAGGATTCAATCATGGGACCTCCATCATAATAAGCTAATCTAATTTAGTCACTTTCCAAAGAACCCACCTCTGGACCATCATGGGGTTAAGGTTTTCACCCTCTTAATACCCTTACCATGTAACTTTGGAGATTAGAATCCTGCATGAGATCTAGGGGGAACAAGCCACCTTCAAACTATAGCACAAGGCAGTATGTCTGTCTGACTTGTTCACTCCAGCTTCCTCTTGGCCGCCAGAAACCCAGAGAGGTTATTCAAAGTTCAGACCCTTTGACAGCCCAGCTCCATGCTTGGGTGGTACCCAGCTCTGTCCATGCTTGCTCCCTCCATGAGCTAGGTTATGAAACTCCAGTCCACCAAGCAGTGTTACATACGACCTTCAAATTCTCCAGCACTTTTTTTTTTTCTCTCAACGCTCTTTAATTCCCCTACATCCTAACTTCCCAGCCCACTTCTCTCTGAATTCTCCACCATCTTCAGTCTGGCTTCCAACACTGTTGAGCTATTTCACGGCTCTGCAGTTTGTGTTAATGAAATCAAATGCCACCAGAGGGCGCCATGCATCCTTAACAGGAAAAGTCCTGCGCTCATCCTACAGCACAGGTAGGACCCAAGAGGGAAGCCATCCAACCTGAATAGTCTTCCAGTCGACTCTCTTTGGTGTTGGATGAGAAATAGAGGCACAGCGAGAAGTGACTGTCCCACAGCTTACGTCTAGCCGCACCCCCTTTAGCTGCACATTCCACATAGGAGGAAAACAAACAAGCTTTGGGGGTTGAAATGAGAATGTTGACCTACTTGACATGTCACCCATGTCTCTATAGGAACTGTTACATTGTTATTTCTTTGGGGGGGAAAGGTGGATATTTTTACATTCACCATTGGCCAGTGTTATGTGCCTGCGAGGTGCTGCACCCTAGATAGGCCTCAGGCTCCTTACTCTCAAGAAGGACCTAAATGTGCCCATTTTTATTGACAGACCCTGGATGAGATCCTGTCACTGCAGCTCATCTTTGTGACTTTGACAAGCTGTCCAACCTTTCTGTGTTTCTGATTTCCCAGCCATAGAACAAGGCTGTTGCTTAGAACCTGACTCACAAGATTGTTGTCAGAACTAAGAATTATGGTCAACAGCAGTAATTGTTAAATCCCTAAAGCACAGTCTGTGGCCCATATACTCAATGCTTACGAAGTGGCTGCCATAATATACTAAATTTATCATTGAAATTAGTCCCATGTTTCCTGTCTATATTTGAAAATATGAGGGTTTTTTTCATAATGAATGTATGTCTCCATTTGTATGTGTACAAATTAAAGCTTTTTTTTTTTTTTTTAATAATTCCAGTGCATGTCAATAGTTTTTGCACTCTGCCCTTTTTCGTTCTAGGTTATGGGCTTTGGCCTCTACCTGATGGATGGAAATGTCAGTAATATTTACAAACTGGATGCCAAGAAGAGAATCAACCTTAGCAAAATTGATAAGTTCTTTAAGGTCAGCCACTGGAGCTGGGGCAGGGCAGGGGGCCAGGGTTACACCAGCATCAAGAGGACTAGAGAAAGGAATGAAATTTGCCACAAAGTAGGGGGAGCTGTTAATTGAGCAGTTACTCTGCAGACCCCAACAGTGGGAGAATAGGATGACAGCTTCTAGCTGCCCCTGGTGGAGGAGTTGGCACTAGAGAAGGCTGTCCCCGGAAAGCATGCACGGTTCTCAAACACGGCTCCACTGGGATTCCACTAGGGGAATGTGATACTTCTTGTGTTCTCCTTTAGCCCTTTCCGGAAGTCATCTAAAGAAAGAGGTGTCTCCTTTTGTTTTCAGAATAAACCAAAGCTCAAGGAAGTAGGAGGGCTAAAGAGTGGATTTTAAGTGGATTCCCATTTGAAAAACCACAGCCTCTCCCCCGGCCCACTATAAGCCCCTTGGCCTCCCTCCTGTCAGGCGAATTGCCTCACCAGCCTATGCACTCAGTTGGTTCTAGTGCCTCTAAGAGAGAGTTGATCTTTTGTTCCTAAATCTTTAAAAACAAAAACTTGTAGTCAATCAAGCCTTTGATTTTTTTTTTTTTTTTTTTTTTGCAAAGGGGCTTCCATACTTTGGAAATGAATCATTTTTTTCTAATGCTGGGCCTTGCAGGCATGAAGCTGGTCTTGGCTCAGACATGGGAATGCCCAGTTTCATATAACTGGTGAGATCTCATGAAGGTGTGGCATGGAGAGCACCAGGCAGGGTCAAGGGGAGCAAGAGGAGTCTTGTTTTGCTGCTTGAATGGGCTTTTTTTTTCAAGTTTGAAACTTTTACTTTTCTCCAGAGCAGCCCTAGATGAAAACAGGACTCGTCTTGGGAGACCCTTGCAAAATCTGCCTTGAGTCAGTGTGCATAAGCCGGCTGTGAAGGGAGGGGACACACTCTCCACAGTCAGGCCTGGGGTAAAGTCTAGCGCTGCTGCTTCACAGCTGAATGGCCGTGGGAAAGTCACTGAATCTCCCTGGAACCACATCTTCCTATCTGAGAACTATGAATGCTCAGGGTAACTCCTCGGAGGGTTTCCCCAAGGATTCACTGGGGTTGCGTAGATGAGTCCGAGCCCTGGGTCCTAATCCTGGCTCTCTGACTTTATGGGACATCGCTAGCCTGCCTGCCTGTCAGTTTCTTTGTTAGTGACATGAACGTGATTACAGTACTAACTTCACATTTCTTTCTTTCTTTTTCCTTTTTGATACTAGAGATTGAACCCAGGGCAAAATTAACCACGGAGCCCCATCCCCAGCCCTTTTTTGTATTTTATTTAGAGAAAGGGTCTCACCGAGTTGCTTAGGGCCTCACTAAGTTGCTGAGGCTGGTAAGAAGAATGAAATCTTGTCATTTGCTGGTGATGGATGGAGCTGGAGAACATCATGCTAAGTGCAATGAGCCAGTCCCCCCGAACCTAGGGCTGAGTGTCCTGTCAGATTTGTGGATGATAAACCAGCAAGGGAGGTTGGGGAGGAGAATAATAGAAATAGATTGGACTAGACAAAGGGTAACGGAGAGAAGGGGGGAGGAGAATAGGAAAGACAGTAGAATTAATTGGTCACGACTTTCCTAGCCGTGTACTTACATACACGACCAGGGTAACTCCATATCACATACTACCACAAGAGTGGGAACCTAATAAAGTAAGTTATACTCTATGTATGTGTATTCTGCCAAAATACATTCTACTGTCATTTAATTAAAAAAATTTAAATAAAAGTAGCAGCAGAATAACAACAATAACAAAAAGTAGCTGAGGCTGGCCTTGAACTTGCCATCCTCCGGCCTCAGCCTTCCAAGCTGCTGGGATTACAGTTGTGACAGGTGTGTCCCACCATGCCTGACTTCACACAGTGTTGGTATGGACTGAGATAATGCTTCTAAAGTGTTTGGCCCTGTATCTAGTGCGTGGGAGGTAGAGAGTAGATGCCAGTCTCCCTTCCGTTTGCCCTGGCCTTTGGCTGGAAGTTTCTTACCTTCTGGAGCAGTAGGAAGAGAAAGGACCCTCCACTGCAAGGCTAGCCATCTGGTCCTCAGACTTCATCCATTGTACTGGCTGTGTGACCTAAGACAAGTCACTTTGCCTCTCTGAGCTCGGTTGCCTAGAACACAGAATTGGTTGGAGACAGGGGAGGACCAGTATGCCAGCTGAGGTTCCTTTTGGTTCTGGGTTCACACAATAGCATCATCAGAAGCAGAAACAAGGGGCCAGGCCCCAGGCGCACATGGAGGCCCGCTGCCCCCCTGCCTCCGGCCGCATCTCACGCGCTGTGTTTGCTTCCTTTGCAGCAGCTGCAGGTGGTGCCCCTGTTCGGCGACATGCAGATAGAGCTGGCCAGATACATTAAGACCAGTGCTCACTATGAAGAGAACAAGTCCAAGTGAGTGCCTGCCGTAATGTCTCTAGGCTCCTGCGAGGACGCCCGGCCCGGGCAGGGGGCCGAGGGGCCACTTCAGTCCCTCCTCCCTCCCCAGAGCCCTGGGCAGGTGGACCCTCAGATCACTGGCACCACCAGAGGGAGCAGCGGAGGGTGCTCGGAGCCCTTTTGTATCCGCCCTTTGCTGCCAGGTTCAAAAGGTCTCAGAGCACAACCATGTCCCTCATCCTGCTTAGTGGTAGCCCATGGCGTCCCTTCAGAGGGACAGCAGGAGTCCTCCTCCTTCCCTGAGATGTGGGGAGCAGCCGCTGGCTCTCGTTGGCCAGCTGGAGAGAGATGGTGACAATCTTCATCTCCCCGATTCTCTGCTCGGGTTTTGCGACCATTCAGTAAGTACGTGGTGACGTGTGGCCGGAATGGCTCCAGTGTGAAATGAGCTGACGCCTCCCCTTGGGTCATTTTATCAACCACAATCCCAGGGAATCTGTGCTGAGGTCTGAGGGATCAGTGGCTCACCGGATTTGGGGGACATCTGGCTCCAGTCTCCGCCGTCTGCTTTGAAATCAGATGCCGTTGTGGGGGTTGCTTCTGAGTGCATTTCACCCAGGGCTGAGTGGACATGGCCTTTCCAAGTGGAAGAGAGCTGGCCATCCTGTGGTCATGGGTGAGAGTTCAGTACCTTCAAGGACAGCTGTGAAGTGCCCTTGACCTCTACTCACCAGGCTCTATAGCTGAGCTCCCAGGGATGGCCAGTCCCGTGCCTCCATCCTCTGGGGCTGCCTGGGTGGGAGGAGCACGGGGTCAGGGATGAGGGGCTTATTTTCTGCCCCTTGCCTGCCTGGCTCCTGGACCACCTGACGCTGGTTGGGAGGAGGCTGTTGTATGACCAGGGCAGGAAGTCAGAGGTTTGAGTGATGGTTTCTTGATCCCTCCAAGTAGCTCAAAATAAAGAATGGCAAAGTATAAGCGTGAGGAAGGCCATCGCTGTTCTGCGCACCCCCAGGAGAATCCCTTCAGGGCTCCTTTTAAAATTTTAACTTCTCTCTGAAACATTCTGAGCTCATGCTTAGTCTGTCTGCTGGGTTACCAGCACCAGACAGGGGAAGACAGGAAGGGGAGTGAGGACTCTTACTCGTTCATTTTCTCTCCAATGCAGGATGGTTTTCTTTTTCTTTCTTCTTCTTCTTCATCTTCTTTTTTTTTTTTTTTTTTTTTTTTTTTTTTGGTACTGGGGATCAAACCCAGCAGCGCTTAACCACTGAGCACATCCCCAGCCCTTTTAATATTTTATTTAGAGACAGGGTCTCACTGAGTTGCTTAGCGCCTTGCTAAGTTGCTGAGGCTGGCTTTGAACTGTGATCCTCCTGCCTCCGCCTCCCCATGCAGTACAGTTTTCCTAATCACATCTGTCAGAAAGGGCAGAGAGGAAGAAGGGAGGTCAGGGAAGGAGGAAAGAGACAGGAGGAGGAGGAGGAGGAGGAGGAAGCCAGCCCTGTGTCCTTGGAGTCCTGGACACTCTCACTGTGGGTGTGACCATGTTGCCAGGCCACCCTGGAAAGGAGGCACAAGCCCATCCGGATTTCCCCAGTCCAGCTCCAAGCCCTCCAGAGCCAGCTCCTACCACAGGGCTGGTGCTCTTAGAGTTGGGGGGATTGCCCACCTTGCTTTTTCTTTCTTGGATTCCAACCCTTGTACCCCTAGAGAGGCTGTGATCCCCAGCCATGGAACTGGTAAGTATTGTGGACCTGATAGCTGGAAAGGCCTGTGGTTGAGCCTCCTTGGAGTAGGATGGCCACAAGGAAGAGAAGGAGGAGGAGGAGGACTGTTCCTCGAAGCCTGTGGTCTCCACAGCACCACACTTGGCAGGCTCAGGACACCGCTTTCTGGTTCACCCAGGGAGCCAGCCGTGTTGGCTGAGGACCAGGAACAACTAGGGAGTGGAAGGAGCGTGTCCCACCCAGGAGCCTGGGGCTGGCCCGGCTCTGACCCTGTGGTTTTCTACCCAGGTGGACGTGCACACAGAGCAGCATCAGCCCCCAGTACAACATCTGCGAGCAGATGGTTCAGATCCGGGATGACCACATCCGCTTCATCTCGGAGCTGGCTCGCTACAGCAACAGTGAGGTGAGCGCTGGCCACCGGGGACGGAGGCATGTGGGCCAGGCGGGGAGAGGAGCAGCTGGGAAAGAGCAGGAACACCTGGGATACTGGGGAGTGGCAGGGACTACACATCTGGGGCAGGAGGGCAGAGCTGCCCAGAGCGTGGACAGTTACAGCCAGACAGAACCAGGGTTAATTCTGCCCTTTGCAAGTTGTTCAAATCTCTGTGCTTCCCTTTCCTCTCTGCATGATGGGGGTAACATCAAAGCCTGGGAAGGGTGTGCAGGAGGGAGTAATGGACAGAGGATGGTTGGGTGGGAGGAGTAAGTTCCAGTGTTCTGTGGCACAGTGGGATGACTGTGGTTGACAACAGTTATTTCAGAGCAGCTAGTAGAGAGGATTTTTAACGTTCCCAGCACGAAGACATGATCGATGACTGGTGAGACAGATAATGCCAATTACCCTGATCTGATCATTAGACAAATACTTGTGTTGAAAAGTCACACTGTGCCCTATGAATATATATATAGATACTAGGTATCAATCAAAAATTTAAAATTTATTAGAAAGGGGGAATAGCAATAGTATCTATCCCAAAAGATTCACTGAAAAAATGAGATGATGTGGCATCTGGAATGTGTGCTGTGCCTAGCAAAGAGGAGGAGCCCAGTGATTATGAATCCCCACCTCCCCTGCACACAGGATCCAGGTTGTCCCTACCCTCAAGCTCAAGAAAAGGAGTTCTGAGAACTTGTGTACCTAACACTATCCAATATTTTAGAAGCTACATACTAAGGAATGATCATTGTTTTTTTTTTTTTTTTAAAAAAAACTTAAATGCAGTTAGGGACAAAAAAGGGCTATAAAAAAAAAATCTCCTGTAATCCCAATAGTGACATTTCATTTCATTGAATTTTCATGGAAATATGATCAGCATAACAAAATCAGGAAAAAAAAAAAACAGATAAGCAGAAGAAGAGAAAGCAATCCTGTAAGATCCTACCATCTCAGAACTAACTGTGATTAATATTTGGGTGCTGTGTTCTTCTGGGTCTCTCCCTGTAGTAGACAGCCTCCTGATAAGCCATTGGATAAACAGGCCCTATGAGCTCCACCATCCTGGAAGACTGGGCTGGTCCATGTTTGCTCTCTGGTTCCACCGTGTGGCCAGCAGCCATAAGGATTGTTTTTTTCCAAAACCCAAACTCAGGAAATGTCTTTGGTCTGACATTTATTCTGACAAATGCAGGCAGTGTGGTCATTCAACCAATGGCCCTGTGGGCAAGGGTGAGCTTTCTTACTAAATGTGCCAATCAACTGAAGTAAGCCACAAAAAAATAATTTATCCAAGGGCTAGACTCCTTTATTCCTAGTCAGGTTTTAGTGGACTAAGGATATACCTGATCCAAAGCATATTTTTTAAAATTACAATGTCCCAAAGTATCCATAGGGGATTTATTCTAGGACCTCAGCTGATATCAATATCCAACAGCACTGAAGTCCCTTTTATAAAATAATGTAGTATTTGAATATAACCTACATGCATCCTCCTATGTACTTTAAATGACCTGTAGATTACTTGTAATACCCAAGTCAATGTAAATGCTATGTAAATAATTGCAGCACAGTATTATTTAGGTAATAACAACAAGAAAAACTAAGTACATTGTAAAGATGCATTCTTTCTGAATATTTTTTCCATCTACTATTGTATAAGCCCATTGGATGCAGAGCCCTGGGTTCAGAGGGCCAAGCAGGCATGATCTCTTCCTGTTTGTATCAAGCCAGTTCTCATCATTTGCAGTAGTCATATCCTTTGAAGTGGCCATGAACCCTGAATTAGTAAATACTGAACAGTTGATCCAAGGAGAAATATAGAGTTGGGTCCCTATGAGCTTCTGGGCACAGTGTTTTCATCTACTGATGAAGTTTTAGACGTGTTTCTGTTTAAAGATATATTGTGTGTTATACAGTGTTGATTCACTGGCATTGTCTGAGGGCCAAAAGCACTGTAACTTATGCCTGAACAAGGCTTATCTAACACATGGAGTTTTTCCATAAGGCATCCTGTACATTCGTGCAGGTAGGAACATGTACAGCACATCAGTCCTATGCCTAGGGACTTTTTCATTTGTTAATTCACCAACAAAGCACAAAAAATGGGTAGCATGGCACTAAGTAGACTGAAAAGGGACACCTGTTTCCAGTGTGAGAGCTGAACAGGGACAGAGTCATCTTGTCCACTCTCAGCTGGGAATTTGTACATCTCTGCACATGACTGAGACATCACTACAAAGTTTTTTGATTTGAGGGCTACAGATAGATTTAATTGAGTGACTTGTGATGAGCATTTTATATGCAATAGAAGAGAAGATTAGAGGGAGTCCCATGTATTAAGAGTCATATTGTGGTGTGGAAGTTAGTGTTGCTTGCTTACATATACATATTTAAGATCTCTGTGCAAGGATATGTGCTTGAGCCACTGTAGTCTGCCCTTCCTACGTGGAATGCAGTCAAGAAAGGTCTGTGTGCCTCTGTGCCCCTGGGTGGTGGCAGGTGGGGCTCTGGCATTGTGCCTCCTGAATTGGGACCCCAGCCATCTACAGGCCTTTAGCAAGGCGCCTGTCTTGAGTCCAGTTCCCCTGTCAAGGGAGCATAATCACTTCCCTGTGAGTTCTTGGGGGGAATCAGTAAGAGGTGTACAAAAGTGCCAGGCATGTGACAGTGAGTGACCGTGGATGTCCTCCAGGTGGTGACAGGTTCCGGGCTGGACAGCCAGAAGTCGGATGAGGAGTACCGGGAGCTGTTCGACCTGGCCCTGCGGGGCCTTCAGCTGTTATCCAAGTGGAGTGCCCATGTCATGGAGGTGGTAGGTGTCCTGGGGCACAGGGTCTCACACTGACCTCCATTCACCTAGAAGCTGTCTGTCCTGCCTCTCCCCTTTGCTAATAACTTTATGGAGATATAATTTACGTAGCATACCACTTTCCTGCTCAGAGTGTGATTTCATTGTTTTTTGTTTGTTTGTTGTTTACTACATTCACAGAGTTGTCTAACAACTCCAGTGTCAAATTGAGAACATCTCCATCACTTTAAAAAGAAATCCAATATCTGATCACCCTTCCCATCCCTCCAGCCCCAAGCCAACTCCTCTCTGTCCCTGTAGGTCTCCCTATTCTGAATGTTTCCTACAAATAAACTCATACAGCACTTAGGCTTTTGCATCTAGCTTCTTTGATTCCACACATTTCCAGGGTTTATCTCTGAAGCATGAATCAGCACCCCTCTTTATGGCTGAAGAGTATGCCAGGACCCCGATATGCCACATTTGTTACCCATTCACCAGTTGATGGACAAAAATTGGGATTATCCTTCTCTCTTCAGTACTCCTGGAAGCTCGTTCACCCCACGGACAAGTTCTGCAACAAGGACTGCCCGGGCACCGCGGAGGAGTACGAGAGAGCCACGCGCTACAACTACACGAGCGAGGAGAAGTTCGCCTTCGTGGAGGTAGGTGCGCACCCCGCTCCTCTCCACCCGACCAGCGCCACAGCTAGTCACTGGGATGACAGACACGCCCACCGTGCTCACAGGTCCTCGTGGAATACGTGCTCCTCCCTGGCCCCGGCTAGTGTCCAGATTAATCCCTGTCAAAAGCTGTTATTCGGAAACAATTAGAAACTCATTCAGTTCTCAAAAGTCCAAAGGAAAATGTTCACTCCTAGAAAAATGGGGGGGAAAAAAGGCTAAAAGAGATATGAAAAATGCCCATAAGGCTGAGTGGGTGGATAGTGTAAGTTGTAACGAGTTATGAGATGTGGCCTTGACCCATCAGGAGAGTGAAGATTTAAAACACCACTGATGCCCCTTGCAGGTGGGACTGGGAGACAGACATTCTCTGATATTTTGGTGGCCTGTCTGCATTTAATGGGCTTTTACAAGGGCAACCTGGTCATATGTATTCACATTTTTAATGTTTACACCCTTTAGTTGTTCTTCTGGGAATGTGTCCCAGGAAATAAGCCGAATGTACAGAGATGCGTGTACAGTTATTTATCATAGCATTATTTATTATATCAGTCTATGGGAAACAACTTGTCTTTCAACATGGGGTCAGGTAAATAAATTAAAATATAGCTATATCATTGAATACTGTGCAGTCACTGAAAAAGATGTTCCTACATGGAAAGCCATGCACACTCTATTGCTAAGTATAAACAAATGAGCAGGGCTAGGAATGGCTCAGGGGAGGAGAAGGTGCTTAGCATCCACGAGGTCCTGGTATCAATCTGCAGCCCTGGGGAATGACGGAACCAAAAGAACAGCACTTAAAATGACCCCATTTATACTAAATACAGTTTTGCATATTTGTTCAAAACTGAAAGACAAATTTATATTTATATTTGCAAAACCATTAATAGTAGTAATTTCTGCAGGAGACACTCTTACTTCCCATTTGGTGACCTTTTTAATGGTTGTTGTTTGTTTGCTTACACAGTGTTGTTGTTTGTTTGTTTGCTTACACAAAGATTATTGGGAGGAAAATTTATTCACATTTGGTTGTGACAGCTACTTTCTTGGGAGCATCTGAAGCCTAAGAGAGTCTGGTCTAGAAGTCAGTCCTGGACCTTAGCCCTGAGTCCTATTATCACTTCATCTCTCTGAGCCTCAGCTTGTAAAATCAAACTAATATCCTTTTTTTTTGGAATTGGGATTGAAATCAGGGATGCTTAACCACTGAGCAATATCCACAGCCATTTTAATTTTTATTTTGAGATAGGGTCTCGCTAAGTTGCTGAGCCTGGCCTCAAACTTGCAATCCTCCTGTCTCAGCCTCCCTAGGATTATAGACATGCCCCACCATGCTCATCTTGAGCTAATAATATTGATCCTGTCCCATCCTGGGGTTATTGTTGGGGATCAAACAATAATTGTCAAATAAGATAATGGCTGTAGATGAATTCTGAAAAAGTAAAAGATCATGCAAATGTGAGGAGTTATAGCTACTCTTTGGCAGATCTCCAAGCTACACTCACTGGTATAATTTCAGACAGGAGAAATATTGGAATCACCCTTTACATTGTCCTGAGTGACTCCCTGATATCTTACTTTTCCATCATTAATAGTCAACCTGCAAGAAAGTTTCCCAGTGATCACCACAGGAAGAAAAGGTCATCCTCAGACCTGTTTAAAATAAGACAGTCAGAGGGTCCATGCAACTTTGAAATACTGTTCATGGATCTCTTTCTGAAATAAAAGGAATGTGTATGGGCTGTAGGAAATTTATAAAATGCTCCTTCAACTCCACCACCCCTGCCCTCACCCCTCCACATCCTGGCAATGTCATCTGAACAAAACCACCAGTAACATTTTGCTGTATTTCCTTCTAGTCCTTAATTTGCTATGCACTGAGGAGTTTTATCCTATTTATTAGTAGATCATATTAAATATTTTTAAAAGAAAAATAGTTCTATATGACATTTAACATAAAACAAAAGGAGCTACACCACCTACTCCACCTCAAATCCCCAAATAGGAAATGACTTCAACTTATTAAGCCATTTCTGCTTGTATTTATCTCCAGATCTGAGTAGTAGGCCCATGAGACTACTTCTTGTTTTTTTAATTGATAATATTTTTTCTATTGACATCCTCACTGGGCCATCAGCATTTAGATCTGTCACACCCATTTCCCCATCTTCCATAGAGGTAATTTCATACTTTTTAGTAAAATCTATAGTTCACCTAATATTATTATAACCAAGTAACTATTGATTATTGGTGAGTCACATCACCTGATATGAATACATTTTTTTTTGTACAGGTTTTTTTAAGAGGTAATAATGCCTTACATTTTATTTTGTTTATGAACCTACCAAAAAGGAAATCCAAAACTTAACCAGCAAAATGTAAAACTCCTTGCAAAAAGTCAACCACAAATTATTTTATGAATTTGATTGCTCCCCACCCCCCTTTGGGGCCATTCCTTCTGAAGTTCTTTCCTTTCCACTTTCTAATGATTTGTCCCTAGACCTCCTGCCTGGCCACTGACCTAAGACTCTCCTCATTATCTTGGGTCTTTTCTCTCTCTCTCTCTCTCTCTCTCTCTCTCTCTCTCTCTCTCTCCCCTCC